AGTATTTGACAGTGACCTTTGCTCAGGACAATTGCTCTTGCTTCCCACAACAATATGTAGTCCTCTACCGTGAGCTGGTCTCTCCAAGTTCAACAAGGTTTTAATTATGGTTGCAATGGCCCTTTGGTTTCCCCTATTAATACCAATTGTTTTAGTTTGGAGAGGACTGGATCTTTCTGTATCCAAAGGCTGATATTGTTTGCTGTGACTGGTAGCATGTCAAGAAATTTCAGTGTTGTGACCGACTGTTCCTCTCCAGGGGACAAGCTGATACCACTCCTATGCCATACAGGAGGCATTGCACATCAATACCAGATCTTTTGTTACATCATAGCATGGCAGCACGTGAGAAATGATCATTGTTTCTTTACTTCATCAAAAACTGGTACCTGTCTGTTAGACCATTTCCAAGGCTGACCCTTTTTATAGGAGTCTATGCAATGGTGCCAGGATGGATGCCAGGTTGTGTATGAATGTTCCAAAATAATTTACCAGAGTCAGCTCCTGGACAGACAGGGGGGCTCTCACTTGATCTTCCAATTTGTGTAAGCCGGTCTTGTTGACCCTACAGCCTAAGTAAATCACTTCGGGTGCCTAGAACGCACATTTTCTCCCCCTTAGGCATATGCCTGTCTCAGAAGAACACATTAGGACCAAATCCAGGTTCTCTAAGTCTTCCCTCATTGGTTTTCCTTTTAATCAAGACATCATGGTAAATAGCAACCTGAGGTGAACCTTGTCAAATGTTCTCCATCGTCTGCTGAAACATTGAACAGGCTGAAGATACGCCAAATGGTGGTCTTGTATATTGGGGTATAAGCCCTTATGGATATGAGTTGTGGCATACTTCTAAAAATGCTGGTCTAAACACAATCACAAGTAAGCGTTGTTCATGTCAAGCTTCATGAAGGAGAAACCTCCTGCCAGCTTTGCGTACGAATCCTTTATCCAACTGTGAAAAACGGTTTATTGTTTTATTAAATTCCCCACAAAGGCAAACTGACCCATCGGGGTTCAAAATTGATGCAACCAGTGATACTCTGAGAGTTGGTCTGGTTTGATGATTCCTTCACTTTCCAGTCTTCTGAGTTCTGCTTCTACTTTTAGGCATAAGGCAAATGGCACTGGACAGGCCTTGCAGAATTGTGAACTTGCTTCTGATCAATATGCGAAGTTGCTTAGGCTCCTCTGATGGTCCTTGGATCTTCCTGGAAACCTGCCTTTAATTAGCTCTTCAATCAGGCAGCCATTTTCTAATCAAAAAATGTTGAGCCAATTTAGATGAATCTCTTGTAACCAATTTCACCCCATCAAGCTTGGGGCCCAAGCCTTCTGTGATCACTGGTAACCAAACCAGTTGCCTTTCTTAAGAGATTGGAACAGAGGTTGTACCCTCGATCTGCATAGGTTCCCCACTGTAGGCTCTCAGCCTAGCTGAAGTCTTGCACAAATTTAAGGGCTGGAGTCCAGAGTGAATTTTATTAAAAACTGGTTCTGCCATCACTGAGAGCCATGCTGGTATCAACCTTGATTTGAACTGGGCGGCCATTTACCTGGACGGTTACTTTGGTTCTGATTTGGATGTTGCTAACCAATTTAACTCCACCTCATCTGGTTTAGAACAGTTTCCAGGGTGTAAACTCCTGGATACTAGCATATGATTTAACTCATTCCATTTAATTCTAGTAGAACTCTGCAGTCCCAAATCCGCATATTGACAACAATGCCTTTCCGGGCCGGATCATGAAACTTGGCTTTCCTTTGGAGTTTCGTTGTGGACGAACCTGGAGTTACTCTTATCAGGATATTTCTTGAGTGGGGCTATGCAGTTTCCTGCACTCAAGTGGTATTCCATTAGCTCAGGAGGACTGATGAGGCTGTCCACTTCCATCGGAATACCTTGCAACTTACATGCTCCACTTGCTGCATTTTCCAATGATAAAGCCAGTTGTAGTGCCTGTTTGAAGTCCAGTTGAGCTTCAGGCATTCGGTGTTTTTATATTGTCATATCATTAATCCCGCCAGACTGTTCCCAAACATCTCATCAAGACCAGCTGTCTTAATCTAGTCATAAACCATGATATGGATTTTCCTCGTTCTCAAATTGCCAAGTAAAAGTGACGGCCTCTCGGAATTAAAAGAGGCTTGGGGCCATAATATTTTTTAACTTGTCAATCAGTTCTTGAAAGGTTTTAGTACCTGGTGCCACAGGAAAAGCTGGGCTTTTAATGACCCAGAATGGCAGCTCCAAATGCTGTCAGGAGAATTAATTGTTTCTCATCCGCCACAATGTCATTTGCCCAGGCAAAGATAACACATTCTTTCCACATACTGGCCCAGTTGTTGACAGCAGGGTCAAATGAGTCAAGTTTCCCAAACAGAGGCATGATGTAAGAAAGTGCTTATCCCCAACTTCAAAATGACTGTTGCAAGTAAGTTTCTTCAGGATCATGCTTTACTCTGGTTCTGAACTCCCTCAGTCATTGGAAACATCCTTGATGTGTTTACCCTTTCTAGTCCTGTTAGAATTTTATAGGTTTTCATGAGATCCCCAGTCATAACTGATCCAGTCCCTGATCATAGTCAGTCCACCGTTCTAAGGATAAGTCTGGTAAATCTTTGCTCCTATATTCGGATCCTCTAACTATGAAGGCTAACGTACCATTTGCCACCTTCACCTGCTGCACCTGCGTGCTTACTTTCTTTGTACAAACCTGGGTTTAATTATGCCTCCCCCTTTTCCAATCAGATAATAATCTGCCTTTTTTGTTTTTGTCACCAAAGCAGATAACCTTACATTTATCTCCGTCATGCTTATCTGCCATGCATTTGCTTACTCGATCAACTTGTCCAAATCACACTGAAGGATCTCTCTACTTTTATCTTTCTCACAGTTCACCCTCTGATTCGCAGACTTGGAGCTATGACGTGTAGTTCCCTCCTCAAAATCAACATATATTGTGAGTGGTTGAGGGTCCAAACACTGCTCCCTGCATAAATGTTTATTGGAATTTAGTTGTTTTGACGGATGCATATAGAGCTGTTGTTCATCCGTACCACAGAGAACTCAATATTGTGACAGATGTAATCAGAAAAATGTGTCAACTTAGTTGATTACTAAAGCCTGCAACTTAATTTTACGCAATAAAAAATCTTGGAGCTTGTATCTTGTTTAAATAGTCTGCTTCATGTTTGTACTCTGGCTAATGATGTATTCTTTATTATAGTCACTGCCTGCTGCTTGGGGGGAAAAAATCCAATTATTTCTACTCGTTGTTTATTGTCTGCCGACCAGTTCTCAATCCATGTCAGTACACAACCCCAGTCCAATGTGTTTGACTTGGAAGAAGTGTTTGGCATCTTGGGTGATGAGGAGAGAAGCTACATGTAACTTTTTTAAAACATTCAAGTTTTATTTCTTTTTGCTTAAGCTGTCTCTCCTTTGCTCCTGAAAATGTGAACTGCTGCAATGCACTGACCAATGCATGAAGTTCTTGAGGTGTAGTCACTGTTGTAATAAGGGAGGCTGGGAAGCCAATGAAGCACAGCATGATCCCACAATTATGTTGAGGTAACTTTGATTAATATGTTGATTGAGAGATTTCCTAGGGCATTGCGTTAAAGGATCAGTTTTGAATAACCTGGGTTCTCAAAGGGCTGATAAGGTCTTTGTTTAACAAATGAACTGAAAGGAGACATCTTCAGCATTGCAGCACTTTCTCAATGTTAAAGTGCTGTACTGTATGATGTCTAACATTAGTGGGGTAGAGTTCTGAAGATATTGATGGTGCTTGCCATTTTTCATGCATTATGTGGCAACTTTTCGAATGCAGGGTACAAATGAACGCAACACCATGGCTCAGTGGTTGGCATTGCTGCCTCACAAGGACCCCTGTTCAATTCCAGCCTTAGGTAACTGTCTGTGGAGTTTGCACTTTCTCCCTTATCTACATGGGGCTCCTCTGGGTGCTCCGGTTTCCTCCCATAGTCCAAAGATATGCAGATTAGGTGTTGGTTGAGCTAAATTGCCCATAGTGTCCAAGGTTGTGAAGGTTGGGTGTATTAGCCATAGGCAATGAAGGGTTACAGGGATATGGTAAGGTGGTTGGTCTGGGTGGGATGCTGTTTGTAGGGGTGGTGTGGACTCAATGGGCCTGTTTCCACACTCTGTGGTTTCTATGATTCTAACTTTTCAATCATTTACCACCCTAAAGGCATTTCCAGCAAGTTCCATGAAGTGGCACTCAATAAAAGAAAAGACAGTACAGTCTTAGTATAATGAAGCAGCTCTCATTAGAAATGCTGTTTGCAGTGCATGTGAATATTGTTAATTGATCAATAATACAAGGTGTTACGTTGGTGAGCGCATGACCTTGCTGCTGACATCTTTCCTGCTTTAGTAGAGCTAAGTCATGTAGTCGTACTCTGAGCAACCTTATTCCTTTGTTTACCATATTTAATTTTCTAACAAGTTAATTTAGAATGTCTAAGGATCTCTAAAATCAATTAGTGTTATGCAAAATAAATCAGTGGAAACTGTTATGCAACACATAGGTTGCTTCATAAGATTAGAAAGTGTGCCTCAATGTTTATTAGAATTTAGTTGTTTTGATGGATGCATATAGAGCTGTTGTGCATCCGTACCACAGAGAGCTCAATAATGTGACAGATGTAATCAGAAAAATCTGTCAACTTAGTTGATTACTAAAGCCTGCAACTTAATTTTACGCAATAAAAAAAACTTGGAGCTTGTATCTTGTTTAAGTAATCTGCTTCATGTTTGTACTCAGGCTAATGATGTATTCTTTATCTAAATCTTAAATATCTTACCCATGATAAAATCATGTTTTCCACTATTTTCTAGTGTTTCTGTGGGAGGGTTGCTAGACCAATTAATTCCGGTGGATTAAAGTCAACCACCACCCCCGTTTTTACGAAATATTTTTGGGAATATTGTCTGTTGCAGCCTCTGGTAACGATATTTTATTTATTGATTCCAGATGCACCCTGTCTTCCACAAGCAGCAATGGACATTGATGAAAATGCTAGAAACGTACTAGATGCAGTGGATGTACCAGGAACACTGGTGGGTGAACGAGCAGCAAGCTATCCATCTCCTGTGCACCCCACGACTATTAATTTCTCTTTGAAGCACTGGGGAACAGAAATCAGGTGAGGCAATCTTGCCAAGAATTATATTTAAAAAGTCTAATTACTGAAACCTTTAAAGCTACCAAGGAACAGCAAGCTTTAAAAATTAAGTCTTTAGCAACTTAAACTTGAGGGATGTAATGTTTTTCATGCTGGTTGGCCGATCTGTGGAATTAATTGTTTGAGGGTACTGAAGTGTAAATTGTGTAAGATTCGAGCGGTTGCATTTTCAAAAACAGAATTTTTTTTCTTTATTCTTTCATGGGATGTGGTCACTGCTGGCAAAGCAAGTATTTTGTGCCCATTCCTAATTGCCTTTGAACTGAATAGCTTGCTAGGCCATTTCAGAGGCCAGTTAAGCCTCACCTGGGCTGCACCAGGTACGGACAGAACATTTTCTTACCAAAAGGATATCAGTGAACCAGATGAGTTTCTTCAGCACTCAGTGATAGTGATAGTTATCATAGTCACCATTACTGAGATTAATTCTAGTTTCCAGATTTGTTAATTGAACTTCAGTTCCACCAGCTGCCATGGTAGACTTTGATCAAAGCTCCCAGACCAGGAACCTGAGCCTCCGAATTACTAGTCCAGTGACATTACTGCTGTGCCTTTGGGGATATGTTGAAGGGGCAAGCAAAGAGAATTTAACTTTGAGAATGAAATAGGCATGTTAAGTTCAGGCATTTGGATCCTTTGAAAAATATTGTAATTGCATTTAAAATCCACAAAATGTTGGAGTAATCCAATACGTGCTGACGACCACACATCATTCTGTTCTCCATCCAAAGTGATGTGAAGTCATACTTGGCACATTGTTGGAGGTCAGTCATCTCAGTACCAGGAGCTCCTCAATGTAGTGTCTTAGACCCGGTAATCTCAGCTACTTCATTATCACCTTCCCTCCATCATAAACTCTGAAATGGAAATCTATACTGAGATTATGCAATGTTCAGTTGCATGCTCGATGCCTCAAATACTAAAGCAGTCTGTGTCAATACTTGGGCAAAATTCAACCTTGGACTGATGAGTTCATCCCTCAACAAGGGTGTCCAACCATCTACTCTTTACTTTCAATGGCGTTACCCTCACCATTGACCAGAAACTTAATAGGACTGAAAATTATAGGAGCAGATCAGGCTGTATGGTTTGCAATAAGTAGGTCACCTTTTGACTCCCCACAGCCTTTCCATCATTGATAAGGCACAAATTAGGAACGTGATGGAATTCTGTCTACATGCTTGGATGAGTGCACCCACAATGCTTCAGAATTCAACACTATTCAAGTCAAAACATCCACTTGATTGGCACCTCATCTGTCATCCTGAGTATTAATTTGCTCCATTACCATGCAGATTGGCAGCAGCATGCCCTGCAGTAACTCTGGCTCCTTCAATGGATCTTCCAAACCAGTGACCTCTACGATATAGAAGGAGAAGGGCTGCAAGTGAATTGGAGCATTCACTTAAAATGTTTACTCCTTAACATTCTAGTGTTGTTCATGTTTAACCAATGTGTGGCCTTTGTTTTTGAATGCCTAATACATTGTACGTGGCTTTGTTTTTAATGATGCCATACTCGTAACATTGAGAGGCTAAAAATAATTAAAAGATGGGAATAAATATAGTCTACTGGAGACTATAATATTTGTCTTAAATAACCTGGAAGCTGATTTGGGATCAAAGCTTTGTTCAGAACCAGATGGTGTCTCTTGACACATGAAGATGTTTTAAGAAGTAACTTCAATTCTTTTAACTGGCTGAAATCTCAAACTATGGAAATAAAAATATGATGAGCATTTTGTTTTGTTAGTGAAGCTAGAGGGGCTTGTGTTATTGCAATATCAGTCTGCTTTGCAGTTTATGGGCTCTTTGTATTGGTCAGGCACTAGCAGGTGTAATTCTGCTGTTTTTAGTGACGTCTTTCTGTTTCCGCACTGAAGAGCTTCTCATAATGAGCTCCTGAGAAAGTCTGTTGTTTTGGTATAGTGGGGAATTGTTATTTTATCCAACATTTAAAGGTAGCTTAATAACTTTTACTCACGAATACATGGGATGTGGGGGCACTGGCTGGGACGATATTTATTTCCCATATCTACTTGCCCTTGTGGATGGTAAACGGCTGCCTTGAACCGCTGCAGTCCATTTAATGTAGGAACACCCACAGTGCTGTAAGAGATACAGCAACTTTGAAGGAACAGCAATCTATTTCCAAGTCAGGAATGTGAGTGGCTTGGAAGTGAACTGCAGGGGATTGTGTTCTCATCTGTCTTCAGCCCTTGTCCTTCTAGATGATAATGGTATAAAAACAAAGTCTGGAGAAATTCAACGTTTTTGGCATCATCTCTTTGCTACAAATGCTGCCAGACCTGCTGAGATTGTCTAGCATTTTCTGGTTTCAGGTTTCTAACATTTGCTGTATTTTTCCTTTAGATGGCAATGGTTGCAGGTTTGGAAGGTGCTATCTAAGGAGCCTTCCTGCATCTTGTAGCAAGAAACCCCTGCTGAGTATGGCTAGTGGAGGGTGTGAATGTGGCATGTGGTGCCAATCAAGTGTGCTACTTTGACCTGGGTGGTGTCAATTTGTTTTTGTTACTGGAGCTGCATTCATCCAGGAAGGTGGACAGTATTCCATCGGCTTCCGGATTTGAATCTTGTACATGGTGGACAGGTTTTGAATAGTCAGGAGATGAGTTATTCTTTTTAGGGTTCCTAGCATCTGACCTGTTCTTGTAGTCAGTGTATTTGTATGGTGAGTCCAGTTCAGTTTCTAGTTAATGGTAACCCTCAGGCTGTTTATAGTCAGGGATTCAGTGATGATAATATCACTGAATGATGAGGGACAGTGATTAGATTCTCTTTTGTTGGCGATGGTTAATTCCAGGCACTTGAGCAGTATGAATGTTATTTGCTACTTGTCAGCGCAAATCTTGCGGCATTCAGACTGCTTCAGTATTTGAGGAGATGAGAATGGTGCTGAACATTGTGCAATCATCAGCAAACATCCCTAGTTCTGACCTTATGATGGAGGGAAGGTCATTGATGAAGCAGCTGAAGATGGTTTGGACACTTTTTTTTTCTGATGAGCTCCTGCAGAGATGACTGACCTCCAACCACAATCATCTTCCTTTGAGCTAGTTATGATTCCAACCATGGAGAGTTTCTCCTAACTCCCATTGACTGCAGTTTTGTCAGGGATTCTTTGATTCCACACTCAGCCAAATGTGGCCTTGATACCAAGGGTAGTCACTCTTACCTCACCCTGGAATTCAACTCTGTTGTTGTTTGAGCCAAGAATATAATGAGTGGTCCTGATGGAACTCAAACTGAGCATCAGTGAGCTGGTCACTGCTAAGCAAGTGCTACTTGATAGCACTGTTGGTGACCCCTTCCATTACTTTACTGATGATTGAGAGTAGACTGATGAGGTGGTATTTGGCTGGGTTGGGTTTGTCTTCCTTTTCGTGTGCATGACATACTGGGCAATTTTCTACCTTGTCAGGTAGTTGCCAGTATTGTAGCTGAACTGGAACAGCTTGACTAGGGAATGGCAAGTTTTGGAGCATGTCTGCAATACACTTGCCAGAATGTTGAGAGAGCCCATAGCCTTTGCATTCAGTGCATCCCTCTGTTTCTTTGTGGTTCAAGATAAATCTCCTGTTATGAGATCTTTCTCAAGTTAAATCTGATTGCTAGGTTAAATTGCTACTCTTGTGTAATAAGCACAGAAAATTCTGGAAATATTTGAGGTCTGGCAGCATCTCTGGCGTGAGAAACAGTCAGATCAGCACTCATCAATTGGAAACATTAATTCTTCTCTCTTTAGAGTCTGCCAGATGTGATTGAATGTTTAAAGTATTTTTAGCTGTTACTACAGATGCTGGAAATCTTAAATATGTTGATTTTTCTTTTAAATTTTAATTCTTGGGTATCTGTGATGTTAGCTTTACAATGTTTAATAAAAGGGTAGCCTCTGTAATCTAACTGCAGAGAGCCTACATGCAACCATGCCAAACCTCTAGTGTTTTGCCTTTTGAAATATCATCAAAACAAATTGTCTTTTCTGGAAACTGATTATGTTTACATGTCGTTGCTAAATCCACATGTTTCCATATCAGTGACGTTGCCTAACATTGTCCCTACCTCAGCTCACCGGATGCAGAATTTCTTGTCCCATCGCTTTGTTACCTACATCTGATTATTCCAGGCTATCTTCCGATTTCAGATTCTCTCAGTTTAAAAGCATTGAAAAATCTGGCACTCATCCTAATTCAGTCCAAATCTCACTCATCTGTCACCATTTTCTTGCTCACCTAGCTTTATCGCTCCTCACTAAAGCCTTCACTCCATTTAGCAATTCTTATTCTTGCCGCCTTATGGTTGCTATTGTCGGCTCCATCCCCTACAACCCTTCGATATATTGGCATTCTTCCAATTTTGTCCTCTTAGATATCCTGGATTTGAATTATTCTAGCATTGCCAGTCATGTCTTTAGCTGCCCAGAAGCTCTGAAATTTTTTCTATAAACCTCTACGCCTCTCTATCTCGCTTTCCTCTTCTAAGACTCTCATTAAAACATACTCCTCTGACCAAATTCTTTCGTCACCTATTCTCATATCTGACTGTCAGATTTTAATGCTAAAATGCATTGAGACATTGTATTAGCTTAAAAAGTGCTGTGTTGTTATAGATATAATTTAAATTTATATTAAATTCTGAACCTGATACAGAAATTCAATGTCAAACCTGAAACCAGGAAGAGGAAATAATGAAAACCGGAAAAGTATCTTCTACACTGAGGACTGGGAACTGATTGATCCCAGCCTCAAAGAGTTGGAAGAGGCAGCAGCACATGAAGAAAAGAGAAAAAATTCCACAGAAGCAAGTAGAGGTTTGTGGCCTCATTTTAGAGTTGCAACTAAATTAGTTCAGAAAATCAAGCATTATTGTACTAGCAGATTTTCTTTCAGAGAAAAATTATACGCTTGGATAAGACCATGTTTTTATAATCTGCCTAAGGTTTTTGTTCTGCCAAGCCTTCAGTAGTTCCACTCAGTATTTCAGTTTGTCAGCTGGGTTAGAGAAATTGGAGCACTACAATGCCAACAGAAGGTCTTTTGGCCCATTGTCTGTATTGGCCAAAAAGGAGCTATGCAACCTACTCCCATTTTTCAACCCTTGGTATATAGCTGTTTAGATTATGGTACTTCAAGGCATATTCAAACCTTTGTAAAAACAGAGTGTGGCAAGGTTTTCTGCCATCCAGCCCCCAAATGGATTGTAGGCCAATTACTGCGCATCATGGACTGAACTCTTGATCACAGTCTGATCACCCTAAACAAATTTTATCCCAGATTATGACCTCTAATGCCATTAATAGACTAATGGTAAATAGTTTCTAAAAATCATATGTTTGTGTCCTGCTCTAGAAAGCCAAGGTTCAAGTACCATCAGGTCCAGAGGAGTTTCAGAAACATCTAAACCGGTAGATTAACCATCTGTGTCTGCCGTAGGTGGGTTGAACATTGCCCTGATGCCATTGATGATTAATTGGCCTGCTACACATCTGTACGTGAAGTTAGCCGTTGTATTATCAGAAGCCTACTGAACCCTCTCAGAATTAATGCCCAGCAAACTTTCTCAAGAAAATTGGGAGAAAGAGAAATGTCTTGGCAAAGAATTAATTGAAAAGAAACATCAAATGCTACCTTCTGGTCCTCGAGCAATTGCACTTTTTGGTCACTTGACAAAATTATTGTTATAGAAATTTTATCCTTTGAACTGCTCCTTTCAAAATAAAAATTATACAAATATAACTGTCGATTTTATTCCTGCGAGTTTTTTTTTGAAACTCCAATTTTGCACAATGTGTTATATTATTCAACAACTTTTATTTGACAATGTTGACAACACATTTTGAAGTTAATTTAATTTTAGTTCAATTATCTTGAAACTAAGAGGATCAGACTAATGCAATTACTCTTTCTTCCCAATGTAACTATTTTTGCCTTGGTTTTAATGTTCTCTTCCTAAAATATGTACAGTACATTTAATTTGCATCCTGTTCCCCTCACTACCACCACATACTCAAGGCTAGGGTTGCCCAACCTTTTTTGCGGGGTCACATTTCAAATTTTTTTCATGCAAGGGCCAATGACCAAATTTTGTAAATACAAGGATTGGCATAACATTAAAATGAATTTCAATTTAAAAGCTGAAAAATGAAGATGGTGTTTAATTTGCTGAGCAAAAGTAATCAAAGCAGTAAATTGTTAATTTTTCAAATTGGAGTAATCAGTAAAGATGACCACTGAAATGTGCCCAGCAGCGAAGTTAGTTAACTAATCAGAGGAGAGTAGGTCTGATTGTGTGAGACTCCCAAACTTTCTCACTCTCCCCGCCACTCACTGTCCCTTAGTCGCTAGCTGGGCTTGGGTGCCTCACTCTGCCATCATGTCTATAGATCTGTGTGGAAGGGTGCGAGTCTGATCTCCCAGCAGCCAGTCAGAAATGTGGAGTCTCTTTCCTGTCTCAAAAACATAAAGACTCTTGGTTGCCATCACTTATAGCTCTCTACTACAATTACAGTATTCAGGCATCAGGTTGAATGAACCTACTCTCCTTCAAGCTGCTCACTGCTCTTCCAATCATAGAATGCTCCTCTGCCACTCAGCAGCCTGTCAGTAAGTGTGGTAGAGTAACATGCTGGGATCAGAGGAGACTTTCCTTGTAGATCTTTCATTTCCACTTACTGTTTTTTGAACACTGTCTCTTTGGGCCTAACTTTGCCTGGGGCATATGGTGAACAAGCTAGCCCTGGATACTTAGAGATAGCAAGAACTGCAGATGCTGGACTCAGAGAACACCGTATGGAGTTGGAAGAACACAGCAGGTCAGGCGTCAGGCAGCAGGCAAGTTGACATTTCGGGCTGGGACCCTTCTTCAGAGGTGGAGGAGTTACAATACCAATCAGGGAGAATATCACTCGGATGACATATTGGAGGGCTCAAGCAATGAGGCAATATGGGTAGAGCTCAAAAATAAAATGGGTGCAATCACTCTGAAAGATTATACTATATAGTATATCGTATTATACCCCAATATCCACATTCAGGAACAAATATGTAGGCAGATTATGGAAAGGTGCAATAAAAACAGTTGTCGTAGTGGATGATTTTAACTTTCCCCATATTGACTGGGACTCCCTTGGAGCAAGAGGCTTAAACAGGGCAGAATTTAAGTACATCCAAGTAGATTTCCTGAAGCAGTATGTGGATAGTCCGACTAGAGGAGAGGCCATACTTGACCTTGTATTGGCTAATGTGACTGACCTTTCAGTGGGAGAGCATTTTGGAAACAGTGATCACAACACTTTAAGTTTTAAGATATAGCAAGAACTGCCAATGCTGGAGTTAGAGATAACATAGTGTGGAGTTGGAGGAACACAGCAGTCCAGGCAGCATCAGAGGAGCAGAAAAATTGACGTTTTGGGTCGGCACCCTTTTTCAGAAGATCGTCAACTTTCCTGCTCCTCTGCTGCCTGGCTTGCTGTGTTCCTCCAGCTGCACACTATGTTAACTTTAAGTTTTAAGTTAGCTATGAATAAGGATAAGTCAAGACCTTGTGGGGAAGGTACTAAATTGGGGGAGGGTAAGTTATGTCAATATTAGGGAGGAGCTAGGAAGGGTTAACTGGGAGGAGCTGTTATCAGACAAGTCCATATCTGACGTGCTGATGAGAGTTCAGGACCGGCATATTCTAGTAAGGAGGATGGATGCCAAGGTAAGGGATCATTGGATAACGAGGGAGGTTGTGAATTTAGTCAAAAGGTTTAGGAAGCTAAAATCGGACGGACTGTGAGAAATATAAAGAAAGCAGGAAAGAACTGAAGCAGGGAATTAGGAGAGCAAGAAGGGTGCCATGAAATGACCCTGGCAAATAGGGTTAAAGAAAATCCCATTATACATACGTTAAAAACAATTGGATAACTAGGGAGAAAATAGGACCACTCAAGGATAAAGAGGGATCTTGTGCTTCGAGGCAGTGGATGTGGGTGAGATCCTAAGTGAGTATTTTGCATTGGTATTCACCCACGGACTGTGTGTGGAGCATGCTAATATGCTGGGGCATTTTGAGATCAAGAAAGAAATGGTGTTGGATCTCTTGAAGGTAGTAAGTCCTCAGGATTTGATGGCATTACCCCAGGTTATTGAGAGAGGCAAGAGAGGAGATAGCTGGGGCCTTGACCAAAATTTTTATCCTTGCCAGCCACTGGAGAGGTCCCAGAGGCCTGGTGAATAGCTAATCTTCCTCTGTTCAAGAAAGGAAGCAGGGATAATCCAGGAAACTAAACTGGTGAGTCTCACATCAGTGGTTGGGAAGCTTTTGAACAGAATTCTTAGGGGTAGGATTTATGCGCATTTGGAAAAGCATGCCCAATCATGGGTAGTCAGAATGGCCTTGTGCAGGGTAGGTCATGTCTTACTAACTTGATTGAATTTTTCAAGGAGGTAATGAAGATGATCAATGAGGGTAGAGTAGAGGATGTTGTCTACATGGATTTTAGTAAGGCTTTCGACAAAGTACCTCATGGTCGGCTCATCCAGAAGATTAAGATGCACGTAATCCACAGTGACTTGGCTGCATGGTTTCAGCATTGGCTTGCCCATAGGGAGGCAGAGGGTAGTGGTTGAAGTGTGTTTTTCAGGCTGGAGGTTCATGACTCATAGTGTTCTGCAGGGATCCATACTAGGACCTCTGTTTGTGATTAAAAACAAATGACTTGGATGAAAATGTAGATGGCTGGGTTAGTAAGTTTGCAGACGGTACAAAGATCGGTGGAGTTGTGGATAGTGTAGAGGCTGTCAAAGGGTATAGCGGGATATAGATTAGTTGCAGATATGGGAAGAGAAGTGGCAGATGGGGTTTAATCTGGGTAAGTGTGAGATATTGTACTTTGGGAGATCAAATGTTAAGGAAAAGTATACAGTTAATGGCAGGATCTGATCAGCATTAATGTATAGAGGGATCTTGAGGTTCAAATCCATAGCTCTGTGATAGTGGCCACGCAAGTAGAAAGGGTAGTAGAGAAGGCATGTGGCATGTTTGCCTTTAGTGGTTGGGGAATTGAGTACAAGAGTCAGGATGTCATGGTGTACCTTTACAAGACTTTGATTAGAGGGTGCAGAAGAAGTTTACCAGGATGCTGCCTGGATTAGAGTGTATGGGCTGGAAGCTATAATGAGAGGCTAGAGAAACTTGAGTTGTTTTCTCTGGAGCAGTGGAGGCTGAGGAAAGACTTGATAGAAGTCTATAAATTTATGATACACATAGATAAGTTTGAAGGTCACAATCGTTTTCCTAGAGTTGAAATGTCTAAAACTGGGGGCTATGCATTTAAGGTGTAAGGGGAAAAGTTCAAAGGAAAGGCGAGGGGCAAGTTTTTTTTTAACCGCAAAGAATGGTAGGAGTCTGGAACACGCTGCCAGGGGTGGTGGAGGAGACAGGTATGATAGGGACGTTTAAGGTGCTTTTAGATAAGCACGTGAATATACAAGAAATGGAGGGATATTGACCAAGGGCAGGTAGATGGGATTAGTTTAATTTGGCATCCTCTTTGGCATGACATCATGGGCTGAAGGGCCTGTACCTGTGCTGTACAGTTCTATGTTCTAAATGTGGATTTGTCTGTGTAAGTACACTGTGATTGCAGAGCCATTCCAATTTGAGGCCTGTGGCATTTTATTATGGGGTTATTTGGGAAATGCCCAAAAATAATGATGTAGCAATACTACATTTGGTGTGAATTCCTCTTTTAAGCATGGATTATGTAGCTAAAAGTGGTTAAGAAAAAATATTCAAACCTCAATATTTGACTTCAAAATAGAGTGCAAAATTGAAATATTGACTGTATTTTCAATCATTTAACCATAAATTGATTTGACTTGACTTGCCGTTCTCAGTAATAGTTTAGTTTTGAACTGGAAAGATTTATTGGCATGTTCTGTAGGTTCGGCATTCTCTTTTGATTTTGCAAGAGCAACGCGAGTTAAACGGCCACCGTTCTTGAGAGACATGATTGGAACATCAAAGAATCGGAATAGCAGTGAGTCATCACCTGTAGAATGGATCGTTACCAATGGAAAGGCATCGACAGAGATTCAGACCAGAATTCAAGCTCAGCAGGAGGAGCTGAACAAGGTGAAAGAAGATTTAATCAGTCAAAAGGTAAGGTTTGAAGAGTCAAAACAGCATTATTTATAATTTTTTTCATCATCTTTCCAGATAAGGAGATTGAGCAATGAGAGATGTCATTTCTTATAGTGGGGAATATCAGTTCAGGGATTGGTTCAAGGAGCCCTTGTTCTGTATGAACCTGTGATATACGTGGCTTGCCCCATGCTTGATACTGACAATAGGTACAAAAGTATTAGGCTTTTTTTTGACATCACAAAGGATTGAAAATCTGTTGTTTAAAAATCAATGTCCCTTGACCAACTTTACAAAAAATAATGAGCTTGTCATTATCTCGTTGTTTGTGGGACTGCTTTGTCAAATTGGCTGCTGTGTTTCCTGCATTGAAGCAAGAACCACATTTCAAAGGAACCTTGGCTGCAATGCACTTTGTGACTGCCTAAGTAGGAAAGGCACTATATAAATACAAATCTTTGTAAATGTGCGTGCCACAGGATTAGAAGGATGATAGAAACTTCATTTAAAAACCTGTGCAGCAGAAATGAATTGTGAGTAAAGGCTTGAAATACTAGGAAGACAGAAATATGGACAATTCAGTAGAAGTTTATAAACTTATTGAGATTGGGGATTTATTCACCCATTTAAGACTGAAGTGATTTGGTTTTTATCTCAGGGCACAGTGAATCTATGGAATTCTTTACTGGAGAGGCTTTTCAAAGGTAGGTCATTAAGTGTATTCAAGGTTGAAGTAGACAGACCTCCTTACTGATTATGGAGAATAGGCAAGTGGAGTTGAGAATTATCAGATTAGTCATGATCTCACTGGTGGAGCAGACTCAGCGGACCAAATAGCTTGCTTCTGCTTCTGCTTCTGCTTCTGCTTCTACATTTTACAGCTTTAAGTACAGACCCTCGGGTTATGAAAAGGAAACCGTAAGATATTAAGGGGGTTTTATGGCTAAATGCTGAGAGAATTTTTCGGTTCATAGGGAAATCTAGAACAAGGATACATAGTTTCAAAATAAAAGGTCTTCCACTTCAGACAAAAGTGAGGCACTTTGCTGAGGGTTACTACTGTTTGCAGAGAGCAACTGAATCTGATATTGAATATATTCATGACTGAGTTAGATATATTTTCGATAGCTGAATTTGAGGGTTATAGGGGCCAGGGAGTGAAGTGGATTTAAGACCACAATTGGATCGTCTTATTGAATGGAGCAGGCTTGAGGGGCCAAATGGTTGCCTCCTCCAATTTCTTATATTGTTATGTTTGACTTCAAAAAGATAGTAGTGAGCTGCCTACAATTGCTTGGTTTTCCAGGCCATTTTGCAGGACCCTTAAGAGTCAACCACATTATTGGGAGACTGTATCAAGCTAGACAAGACAAAGCCGATGCCCTGCATTAGTGAACTTGTTAGGTTTTTATAGCAAATCAATAATTTAATATTCATTATTATCGGAAGAATATTTACTTTAAGATTGTGTTTTGAATTTAAATTTCTGCAACTGCTGTCGTGGGATTTGAACTCATTTTCCCGGAATATTATTCCTCTGGAACACTGATTTGTTAACATTGCCAATATGCAACGATCCCTTAGTTGTTTTTTGCCACAATTTGAGGGAAAGTTAAATAAATATTTGAAACTGCAGAAGATGCAGGGCTGTGGGGAGAGAAGAGGACAGTAGGATTAGCTTTTGATTGTTCTAATAAAAAATGGGCTGAACGGCTAGCTGCCTCTGTGTTTTAAACTTCTAATTAATTGAAAATCTAGTAAAATGACAGAAGTTATTAATTCATGTAGAAATTGAAAGACAATCTGATCATTAGTCATTCTACTGTGTTTTTACAGTTTAGGTTTTGATCTAATTCCAATTAGAATTGTGGATTAACATTTTATTTAGGATTTGTCCAATGTCTGGTCTGTGGTGTCCAGACACATGATTTCGTTGGCTTGCGTACTTCGGAATGCACAAGTTTAGCAGAACAAGATTCTTGTATCTGGGCATATTATGCAACTCTCTAGTTGGTGAAACAGTTTTTCTGTTGTGCAACAGATGGGTGAAAATATTACCTGGATTTTAGATACTGAAAGCTGCTTACTTTGAATAACTAAGTGCATGCATTCTTTACCGTTAGTGGTGTATGCAGACTAAAACGTGTATGTAAAGATTTTTTAGTTGTGCAGATCCAAATGATTACGATTTCAAATCCAGTAGCATTTCGGGCAAAAACAAAACAGTTTTAATGCTAACTTACTCATGGATTTAAAGATGTATTGTAATTGCTCTATTCTTTTGACTGACCATCGCTTTAATTCTGCTGGAACACTGTTTAACAGTATTGGCCTTCCTGGGAATAGAGCCCAAAGTAGCTGTGCCTCATTTGTATTTTGTCAACCTTTGGTTCCTCCTCTTTGATCAAACATCCCCTCCCCCCTCATTTTGTGTATCCTTCTATTTGAGATTTCATCCTAAATGTGAGAAGGCTTATAAGTGCACATAACATAACTATGAACATTGTGGTGCATGGCGCATGAGCAAACTAAGACCATTTTTCCACCAACAGTTACAGTGGTTTAAAATATAACCTCGGGCAGGGTCTGGAGAAGACTGTTCCTTTCAGATGGTTCATTTCTACACAGGATTCCTTTTCATTGCTTAATACTACAATAATGTTACACTGCCAGATAATTAAGATTGTATGATTGCAAGATTCCAGCTCTCTTTAATTGAATGTTTCCATCTTGATTATGTGATTATTTAGTTGGTACTTTTGTTTTAAAATCTGCCACCTGATGATTTTGTTTTCTCATTTGCTGAAGAGTTGTACACAGTTAGCGAAAGATGTGGAGGTGCTGGTGTTGGACTGGGATGGACAAAGTCAAAAATTACACGGCACCAGCTTATAGTCCAACAGATTTATATGAAATTCGTCAGATGCAGTGAGAGGAGAGCACACTTCAAACTTAAAACAGGCAGAACGATAGGAATATACAAAAGGTGACAGGTCAGGTCAGACACTGAATTGTAGGTGTGAGGCCTTGTTAAAACTGAGACAGATTCTGGACCTGGAATGAGGATGGTTTTATTCTGAAAACAGGAATTTATAAAATGCCACACTGACTGTGACTACAAATTGTGCTTTTCTAGAACAAAATAGAATGTGTCTGCAAATAAACAAACATCTTGGATGAAATGGTTCACCCCATAGGTTTTGTGTGGCGGTGGGGTGGTGGTAGGGAGCTGACAGTGTGTGGGTGGGCTGTGAGACAGTGTGGGGTGGGGAAAAGATAAGTAATCCAAAGCTATCCCTACTCATTAAGGTTGAGAGATCATAGCTTATCAAGGTGATGTTCATTTCAGGTTAAAACTCTTAGATTCTGGACAAGGCCACACAACTACAATTCAGTGTCTGACCTGAGTTGTCACCTCTTGTATATTCCCATCACCCTGCCTGTTTGAAGTTTCAACGGTTAAGCAGACAGTAATGAAACCTTAAATTATCTTGGAGGAGTGACTTGAAACAAATTCTGGAATTTGTAATTCAATCAATCGAAACTTGCGTCTCCTTTCTAACAAAGTTCTCCATACCCTGCTTCTGCAATTTCTAGAATGCAGGAATGTATTAATGATTAAAGATTCAACAGGAGGCAGTCAGTCATCCATTTTAGGTTAGTTGTACGATCCTTTGATCTCCCTTCCTGTAAACTCTTTGTCTGTGTGCTCTTCTCTCACTGCACCTGAAGAAGGGGCTGTGCTCTGAAAGCTTGTGATTTCAAATAAACCTGTTAGACTATAACCTGGTGGTGTGTAATTTTTGATTTTTGACAGTTAGCAAACATGCATATCAAAATGACTCTCTTTATTGATACGTAGTCTGTATTGAATGCTGTAGATGTTTAGGTTATGAGATGCATTGTGCTGAAATAGATGGCAGATGTTGAATGTTAAGACAGTGGTGGAGGCGGGTACAGTTAATAGCATCTAAAAGGCATCTTTGTGCTGAATGACTCTGTATAACTGGGACCTCTTGGGGAGACTACTAGACTAATAGAGAAACCCAAATTTTTGGACTGTACTTAAGTTAGAAGGCTTGTGGCTGTGAAAGCTACAGAACAGAGGCTTGATTGCTCCCTGGTTATCCACTTATTATACACTTATTATAAATTTATTGAATGCCCAGAGAATAGATTCTCAGTTATAAGTATTAACAACATTCATTGGAACCTACTGAAAACTGTGTATGCTTTGGTGTCTTCAGAAACCAAGCAAGATACAGGCTTGTGCTTATGATGTTACAGATCATGGAGTCTTGGCCAGTTATAGCTCATTTATTTTTTTCTTTTTCATTTATCCCTTAACTGCCTCTACATGACTGTCTGTGTATCCTTTTTGACACTGGGCACTAAAATCAAAGAAAATTGGGTTTAAATCGTAGACATTAATTAGTTTACCTTGTTGCTTAACTTTCTTCTGCTAAAGCTACCGTATTAATAACAAATTGTAACTTCTTTTGTTTAAGTTTTGAATTTGGTATGTGGTTTCAGTTATTCACAAAGTCTGGTATTCATTATTCAAAAAGTCTGGTAGGAACCATTGGTATCAATTTTGAGGGTCATTGAATGTTTGAATTTTACTGTATTCTGAATACAGGGATAGGGTGGTTGATTTGATTTGGCTGTCTGTCTTTGTCTTGTAACAAAATGTACTACATAATATTTATCATAAAGAGCTGTTCCATCTAGTCCAGAACACCAGAGGATGAACTTAGCGGAAGGAGTGAAGAATTCAAAACTAATTCATAATTAAATTGGCACTCCTTTATTCTATGATTGTGGCTTCTGGTTCTAGATTCTCCCATAAATATATGGGTTTCAGCAAAGTCTTTGACAAAGTCCCATGAGGAAAAAGCACTTGGGATGCAAGATAACTTGGCAAGTTGGATTCAAAAATTGGTTAAGTGCTCAGAGAGAGAGGGTAGTGGTAGAAGGCTTTTTTCATATCTGGAGGTGAGTGTCTCGTGGATCAATGC